TATTCACCCGAAATACGTGCTAAGATTGGAAAGTATGCCAGCGACAATGGCAATTCGAAAGCATTAAAAAAATTCAAGGCAGAAGTACCAAATTTGAAGGAAAGGACAGTGCGAAGTTTTAAGCAAGCATATGAGAGGAAGCTCAAAGAGGTGACAAAGAAAAGAAACGTGGAAGCTCAAGTTCTTCCTATTCCAAGTGATACACGTGGCCGCCCACCTATACTCCTTGAACTAGACGCAAAATTAATTTCACTCCTTAAAAGCATACGAAGTAGAGGAGGAGTAATTAATTTCTCAGTGGTGAAAGCAACTGCATTGGCGCTTGTTAAAAGCAATCCTTCAAGTAGTGTGACAGGGTTTCAGCCCACAACGACCTGGGTTAGGTCTGTTTATCGACGATGTGGCTTCTCACGAAGAGCTCGAACTACCACTCGCCCCCCAGTGCCTCGAGGACTGTTTGAGGAATGGAAGCTCACGTTCGTTAGCGACATAAACAAGACAATCAATGAACATAAGATTCCTCCTGAATTAGTGCTAAAAGCTGACCAAACTCCTTGCTCATATGTCTCGGTAGGCAAAATGACAATGGCTGCGAGAAATTCTTCTTCTGTACCAATTAGGCCTCACTGTCAAGAGAAGTATTACACTTACTTTTGCTATATCTCTCTCAGGCAACTTTTTGCCAATGCAAATAATATACCAAGGGAAAACCACAGCAAGCCAGCCAAGGAATTTCCAGTTTCCGAAGGGATTTTTGGTCTCGCAGAATCCAAAACACTATTCAAATGAGACGGAAACGTTAAGCCTGATAGATACAGTGATCAAACCTTATGTAGATCTAAAACAGAAGGAGCTGAAACTACAGCCAACTCAAAAAGCGCTGCTCATCTGGGATGTGTTCAAAGGCCAGAAAACTGACAAGGTTTTGTTAAAGTTAGCATCACCGAATATCGAGGTTGTTTCAGTCCCTGCCAACATGACGCATTTCTTTCAGCCTCTTGATCTTACTGTAAATGGAGAGGCAAAGCGCTTCATGAAAGACCAGTTCACTATGTGGTATTCAGCAGAAATACAAAAGCAAATGGAAGCAACAGGGAATGATGACGACATCGAAGTTGATCTGAGATTATCCGTTTTGAAACCCTTGCATGCCACTTGGCTTGTCAGCCTGTATAACCATTTGACAAGCAGCGACGGGAAACGCCATCTCATGAAAGGATGGGAAAAAGCAGGTGCAGCTGGGGTGGCTAGGGGTGAAACATCCCTTCCGTCTGAGGACCCATTTAAAGATATAGACAGTGCACCACAGTAATAATGTAGACATTGCACAAGGCTGTATCGGAAGACACACTTAAATTGTATTTGATTATTATTCATCTATAGTTTTGTTCTGTTTCAAGGGTGTTAAGCATTAATAATCATTACAGAACTGTGTGGCATAGGTATTTGAAATTATATTTTTACAATTGACTTTTATTAGTACAATATTGCAGTAGCATCTGATTGATTTGCAGTATTTGCTTGTTTTGTCTGATTATCAACGCTATTTCTTTTACGTAATTGCAAATCATGATTGTAAATCAATCGTTATTTAAGTGAGCAATCAATAAAAAACGGTTTTCTAAGTCTGTCTTTTGTCAATTTTCGCGAAATTAAATGCCCTAAATTTATCATTTTTTGCAAAATCGCGAAAATTAATGCTCGCGAAATATTCGTGTTCCAGATTCGCGAAATTAAGTGCCCGTGAAAATTAGTACGAATAAGGTATGCAATGCAAAAGAGTTAGTCCATGGGCCAGAAAGTGAAACCCTCACCTCCCTCGGGGATTTTTGCAGACATGTATCACTTCAAAGCTTCACTTAAGAGTACTTGAAAAGTGCATGTTTGCACTTGATTCCTTGGTGGGTGTGGCTGTGCAGCAACATTCTTTTCCTCAGCAAAGAGTCACAGGTTAGACCAAGAGGTGAGTTAACCCCTTGAAACACCATTACCGACAAAAATCACAGTCAAAGAAGTTTTTTAATCTCATTCGTAAGTTACAATTCTCTACTTTACTTTTCAGCTCCAAAAACTACTACTGGACAGTTCTAATAAAAAAACTCTTTAAATGACCAACCTAGGTGAAATTGTGGTTGTTAATGGCCAATGAGAACGTATTGGCTACTAAATGACCAATTCATAGTTTACTGCTTATGTGATATTTTCAAGCCGAAGAGACGTCAACAGCGCTTTGTAATGTCCTCTAAAGTAAAGCAAGATATTTTCCCCAGCACTGCATTTCATTATTTTGCCCAAGCTTTTATGGTACATTTGTTTTAAAAAAAACTTGTTAATCATTTGGTGCATTTTATTTCAAGACACATATCATACTTCTTTACTTGATATCTCATGAGGCACAGTCCACCTTTTCTCTATCCCACAATCCTTTGGGACTCAGATTCAGATACACCATTTTGGAAAATTCAGTTCTGGCAGCCAAAATTATAAAAGTGAGTTCGTGAATTCATCAGATGTTAGCAAATGCGAAGTGATTGAAGTTGCATTTGAAGCAGCAAATAAACATGAAGTTCCTGCAAACCAAGATAAAAACCTAAAGGATCGCATTTGTGACAAGTCCTTGCCATCTGAAAAACAAGGTTTACTCTTTCTAGATCTACCTATGCAAAACCGCTTTTCGCCACTTGATGAAGACTATACACTTTCAACGCCAGGCAATGAGGAATCTTTATAACAGAACAGAAAAACGCTACAATCTTTGTGTGTAACTGAAACGGGAAATTTCTACTTCCTAATCAGGGCGTAGCCAGTCTGTTGGCCGGTAGACCCGGGCCTACACTTTTTTTTCCGCCTGCCTGACTTTTCATGGTAGTATGACTCGTAAATTTTGAAAGAGACTTAAAATTTCTTACGAAATACTTTCGAGTCTAAATAACAAAGAAGCAGCAAGATGAAATCTCCTAGTGTTAAAGAACCATTGGATTGTAAGGAACATGATGCAGGAAATTGCTTTGTCATTTTCTTTCTCAGCTAAGCGGCAGCATCAGCTTCAGGAGACATTAAAAGAAACACTTGAAAGTCAAGAGGAAATGGGAAGATGAGCTGTGCTGTGAGGACTTTGCGAGACTCGTTGGGGTGCTGACGCTTTGCGTACTCTTAAGATATCATTTGACGTGATCTTAAAGGCTTTAGAAGTCCATGACAACATACAAGACTCAAAAGCAAGGGGATTTATCCAAACCATGCTCAAGTTCGAGTTTATAATTGCATTAATTGCCTGTGAATGGTTGCTACAATTTATTGTGCCTCTTACCAACTATCTTCAAAGGGTTGATCTAAACCTACCCCATGCACACACGCAAGCCAAGGTGGTCATCCAATTACTTCACAGTGAACCTAACGACGAGTTCTGGAATAAGCTGTATCAATGGCAGTATCTGTTGTGGCAAAGCATGATGTCCTAGTTTGTAAACCTAGAGTAGCTGGCCAAGAATTGAATCGTGAATTTCTTTTATCAGATTCAGTTAGTGACTAGTGACTAACTAGCAGACTAACGTCCACGTCCAAATCTAATAATACAACAGAAAACACTGCCATCTCTCGTGTGACTCGAACGGGAAATTTCTACATCCTAGTAAACTCTTCTTACCATTCTACAACGTCAAGTAATTCAAATGCCCAATTTGCTAATAAAGCTCTTAACCGGGATTAATGAGCCCTAAGGGAGTACTGGTTCTTTCCTCACTTGTCCCTAGTGTACTCTACTCTCCTCACCCTTGCAATCAAGGTTCATGCAGTAGTCAATAGCTCACTGTTTAGCTCAAAGTACTTTCACTTTTACAATGTTGAAGTGGTTGGAAAAGCTTCTAGTAAATTTCCACAACATCACATGCTTCTCACCTGTCTCACCTTATGCAAACCGCTCATACCACTAGTCAGCCACATTTCAGCTTTGTTCTTCAAGCAAGTGCCTAAACTCACACTCTTTAAGATTGGAAGCAAGTGGAAGCTGTCTTCTGTAATCGCTATGGTTGTGCTTTGTCCTGCACATTTTCAGTGTTAATTTGGTTATTTTGTCTCATAGTTTGTTACATTATATTATTCATTATGTTGCCACCGCTTTAGCCACATTGCCAACGCCATTAGCTCGATATAAAAACTAAATCCTAGGTGTTTCTACCTTTTAATTTTCTTACTTACTTATAGCTGGCAGGGAAGTGCACCCTGGGCTGAACTTTACCCCACAGTATGTGGGATAGCCCTCCTTGGCAATAGGTCCGGATTCCTTACTCTACGATGGTACAACTCACCATCTGACCTATTCTCCTTCCAGCAGAGCACCCCTCTTCTGGTCCACCCTTTGTTACACCCTAATGTAGGGTTGCCTCTAGAGACACCGCTACTTTAGGGGGTCCTCCTAGGGACATCGCTACCCTAGGGGGCATAAGCTCTGCCTTCCCTGCCACCCAAACTTTGCCAAATCATAGCGATTAATATAATACAATTAAATAAAAATATATAGATGAAAGGAGAATCTGTGTTCTTCCTTTTTCAGTTTCATAACCCTTGCCGGGCTGGGCGAATGAGTAAATGAGTAATCATTGTTACCCTCGGTTGTCTATGGCCCTCTCCTCGGCATGCGAATATTTTCTTTGGCTCTCCCGTTTTATGTCACTGACTCTTAAGGACTCATAATTCCAACGTACAGGATTCATTTCAAAATGATATGCATGGTGCACCTCAAATCCTATTAATTCACACCGGCACAAACAATTTAACAGTAAGAACCCCAGTACAGGATATTGTTTTAGATCTATTAGTGATGATCACTGAAGCCTTGACCAGATTTTCTTGGAGCAGAATTTTGTACCCCACTCTCTGTCCACTTCCTGATATCCCAACATCCACAAAATCGAAAATTAATAACCAGATATTAGGCAAATGCTCAATCCCACCTTATATGCATTTCTTGTCCCATGTGAATTTGTTTACAAAAGGAATGGAATGTTCTAAATGACGACAGGCTCATTAGATTGCAATATATTGGTTTGTTTGCTACTGATCTGTTAAACACATTTTATGGCAACTCGAACATACCGCCTACCCATCCCCCTAAGCCCACAAACCAGAGAATCCTGCAAGCACATAGTCAACAACTGTCTCCTTTAGCAAGATATACATGCAATGCATTAAAAAATCTTCCTCCTAAAACCTGTCAAGTGACACCTCACTCATTGCTGCCACAGTATATGCAAAAAGAACATTCGTCAACCATCACACTCAACGTTAACACACCCGCCTTGTTCCCCAAGACCCCCTGCAATCACCAATGAGGCCTGAATCTTCGAGCAGTATAATTCTCTGCTATGGCGCATTCAGGAGAAAACGCCGAAATACAGAGAACACAAATTGAATTGCTTCAAAGAATGACCATTCCAGTTCCAAAGCCTCCAGTATTCGATGGAAACATCTCAAGAGTACCCAAAGTGGAAAAACACCCTTGATGCCCAGACAGAAGATCAAGTCGTTATTCCAACATACCAGCTTTTTTATCTTGGCGAATACTCCAACAGAGCAGCACAAAAAGACATCAGCGACCTGTTAGGATTACGGACAAAAGATGCCTATATGCTTATATGAGAAACTGATCGCCGTGCGTAAACAGCGCAGAGCTCCCAGAGTTAAGTGATTTTCATGTCATGACTCAAGAAACCACAAAATCAGTCGTGTACCTAAAGGGACTCGAGAGTTACTCTGCTATTCGAGAACTTGCACCCTGCTTACCCTCAAATTACAGTAACAAATGGAGTTTAACCGCTGGTATCTGGTTTTCCCTTTCTTTTATTAGGAGCATCCACAAGTGACCTCGTCACTGACGTGCATGAGGCCTCTGTGAAATAACCTCAAGTTTTCTAACAATTTCCCAAAAATTTTGGTACGCTGTTTGTTTCATTTTTTTTTTCATGCTATGGATTCTTAACAGATGTGTGATGATCGTGTTGTGATACTTGTGAGTCATTCAGCCTTGTGTTAATAAATTAAGCATTTTGTTGTTGTTTTTATCGTCACGGATATCATGTGCCGCCATCTACCATTTTAGTTATTTCACGACCTCATGGACCTTACTGATTGTTTATGGCTTCGTTTACAACGATAATTACAGTGTTTCTATTTGTCTATGGTTTTGAGCTAATTTTATGGTTTTCGAGGATATTTACGGTCATCGAACACGATGGCCTGTTGCTAGGGAAAAACCTCCCAGATGCCATTCTGGGGTCACGTGATGACGCCACCAATTAAAATGGCATCATTTGAAATATTTTCAAAGCCGGAAAGTCAAAAGCTATTTTTGTTGATTTTGTCATAAAGTAAGGGAATTCTTGCCTTGTGATTGGTTAGCTATTAATAAATATAACTAGCTTGTGGGTGAGGGAGTAAGCAGTCATTTAGTACTGAAAATAATGGCACTTCTCACTCAGGGTCCTACTTTAGGCAAATGTTGGGTTTATGCAGCTAATCAAAACATGTTAACACACTATTTTATTCATTTTCCCTAGCAACAGAGGTAATAAACGATTTCAATTTGACATGCTGCTTGTTTGATTCAATTCTCGAGAAGAAATGACAAAAAACTGCGCTCATATCCCACTCTTAGATTTAAAAAATGCATTAACACAAAAATATCCCGCAATGCCATAGGCTTTTCAAATTCAGATGAAGGTTTAGGATAAATGGCAACCTCCAGCGCTGAACTACGTTAGTTCTTTACGCATAAACCCCTGTTTTGAAACGCATTACTGCTCACTGACTCCATCTTGAATTCCTTAAATTCCGAGCTTTAGTATCAGTAGATTCCTTGTCGAATTTGCTTTTATTAGGGAGGAAAAATTGTGTTAAAAATCTTGTAAATGTAGTAAGCAGGACAGACATTCAGGCAAGTGTAACAAAGACACACAATTTCACCCCTTCTGGGAGACTTTGCGCTATCAGGTTCGGAACAGCTTGAAGAGGGAATTTGCTGAAACCAGCGAACAGCTTATATCAGATTACGAAAGAAAGAGTGCAAGATTTACCAACTTGGAATGACGCGAAGAAAAAGTAGAAGCAAAACAAATGGAAGCTGGTAAGGCATAATGTATGCTAATACTTTATAAAACCATGCTTCAACGCAATGGAAAGTGACTGTGCGCAGCATTTTAGAACAGGCATGACTTCCCACACATCTTTTGTCTCAGCATGAAATTAATTTTACTTGAGACCGAAATAAAAAATAAAAATCTAGCTTTCTACTCTGTTTATATTGAAGTCTATGGGTAAAGGTTATTTTTCAAAAGGTTCATTGCTTTCTTTGGTCAGGTGTATTCCCCACTGAAAGGCACTTTGGAAAGAAGAGTATATATACCCAGTCAATGTATTATTGCTCACGAGCTTGAAGTGTCTGCACTAAAAGCATCATTGTCTTGACTGTTGTGTCATTTTATTTACTCAACCTGCATTTCCTTAATTGCCTTTAGAACAATTACTTCAAGATGCTCAAGAGAAGGCTAAGAAACACGAAGATGATCTGGAGCTCCTAAAGAAAGAGTATAACAGATTTAAGCTTCTGCTTGGTCAAATGCAGCAGGGCAGAGCTAGTCAGACCCAAAATGCAACAACATTTGAGATAATCTCAGATTTTCTGCAGCAAAAGCAAATTGCGCCCACCGCAAAACAGAAATTATCAAACAAGTACTCAAATATAGATATTGATTGGGAAAAGGCTTACACTTTGGCCTTTCATTGCACTTTGGACACAAAGACCAGGGAATTTCATTACAAAATTTTAAATTGTATACTCTTTACAAACGTGAAACTTAATTTAATTGGTGTAGTGGAATCGCCAAACTGCACTTTCTGTCAAGAAGCAGCGGAATCTGTCGAGCATTTACTCTTCTCCTGCAGGATATCTTCTGAGTTTTGGAAGCATGTCTTGTCCTGGGTAGGAGATAATGATGTTCATGTTGAGACAATTAATGAGTCTGATGTGATATTTGGAAAATTTGATATTGTAGACGACTATACTCTAATTAATCATATTTTGTTATTAGCTAAATATTATATCTACTGTAGGAGATGTCATAATAGCGTACCTTCAATTAGAGGTTTTATTGCTAGGGCAAGACGTGTCTTCAATATTGAGCTCCATATCGCCAGGGAGAAAAATAAACTTCTTTTTCATTATCAAAAGTGGGAGAAGCTAACTTATGTACTTTGTAGTAGTTGATACACGTAGGTTCGTTAAAATTAGTAGGCATCTTTATTGTTATCGTGGTGGTTGTAATATATACATATAATTTCGTTGTTATTGTTATCCTTTTTCTTGTTTTTTAAGTAGAATTGTATATTCATTTAATTAATGTTTATTCTTAAGTAACATTGTAAAACTCGTCTTTAATTCAATAAAAACTTTAGCCAAAAAAAAAATAATAATCTCAGATTTCGAAAGCAGGACCAGATACAGACGTCGGCAGGAAACAAAAGAAATGCGAGAGTACATCCATGGTGGAGATGAGGGGGCCTTTTTGGTGCATGAGACTTTGTTGCTGCTTTTGCTTCCAAAGAAATCATAGAGTTACAAACGGGGGAAGTACTTACAGGGAGTGTTTGGAAAGGCTGTTAAGCGTTTCAACAAATTTCAACAAAGAAGCTTTAAAACAAGCAGTAGCCATGAAGTTCCAAAATTACCTGTCAAGACACAAGTTTAATTTAGTTTGTAGGATGCAGAGCTCAGTATATGATGCAGAGCAAGAAGTTTGGCTTCCGAGAAACATAAAATGCTTGGATGCAGAAATAGCCCTGCCAAATGTCAGTGATTTGAAAGTTGATCATTTTGTAAAAAGTCTCGATATTGGTGATGTCTGCCAAATATCACAATATCCTGGAGTATCATGCACAGTCACAGGATTGTTTTTTTATGATTCTGGACTTGCATTTGCGATTGCCTCGTTTACACAAACACTTAATTTGCTTTAATGGCAACAAGTACTACTTTATTTTTCAGTTTTCTGACGACGGGGCTCCCGAGAAAAGTGAACCGGCAATGTCCACTGGCACATTGACACGCTGGAACTTAGGATCAAGGGTAAAGAGTAGGGAATTCCATTCCTTACTCAATTTTCTGAGTGTCTCAGAGAAGGAGTCAGCAATGGAAGACATCAGGAAGCAGCACAACGACGAGATGAGGGTGTTGGAGGGGAATATTTTGACTGTTCGTGGTCAGCAGTGTACACTTGAATTTCAACCAAGCACAGATCAGTCATGGTAAAGCTGGGCTAAAAATGAGCTGAACCAAGCAGCACCATATCCCTCAACTTATGCTAATGTTCATAAAGGACAGTTGCCTATGATGGGTGGAACTATAGGGAATAATAGTAACTGTACATGGCAAGTGCCCACGCAAGAAAAACGCAAAGAAGACTTGGGTAAACTTCAAGCCTTCCAAAAGACCTTTCCAAAACATCTTAACCCAACCAAGGGCCACAGAAAAACATGAGCATTCACGTCTAACAATGGCTTTTGCCAGCTTAAGGCACCTAGAATAGGGGAATTTGCCAACTTACAAAGGCCAGAGCTTGTACATAATGAAATGAATGCCTGGCAACATATCCTTAACATGATTTATAAGGAAGCACTCAGAGAAACAATGTGTATTTTTTAGAAGTATTAAGTTCTCCAGTTGAAACGACAGAATCTGCAAATACAGTAAAAACCCGCGAGTAAGAACCTGAAAATTAAGAACCTGTTAGCCTAAAATTTGCCATTTATATCCCCTATAAACAAGAACCTGTTAAGCCTCGAAAATGAAAAACAGGTTCTTATTTTTTAAAATCATATTATTGAAATGCAGCTGCAAAACTGTGCAAGAATCCTGTTTGGAGAATTAGGAACTTGGCATTGCTGTCCAAATAAAAGTGCTAATTTATTGATGTAATAAAAAAATAAAGTGCAAAAGATTAATATCGTTGTATCGCATTTTGAAATTGACCAACAGGCTGATTACCATCTTGTTTTGTAGCTTGTTTTTTTATTTAATTTTTTTTACAGAAATAACACTTATCAGGTTTGCGTCTTTTTCCTTTTAATTTAGTTTGCTTTTGGCCATATAGATATATATTATTTTTAATAGTTAAAATAACAAGTATTTGTAATTTTTTTTTTTGTCAATAAATAAAAAAAAAAGAAAGAAATAAGAACCTATACTACCATTTAAATAAAAACCTGTGTAGGCTAACTCCAGAAAATGTAGGTTCTTACTTGCGGGTTTTTGCTGTATTAAGTTGTCTCGTCCTCACCTCGCCACCCCACATCAGGAACAAATAGGGGAAAGAGTTAGGCAAGTGGACATTGTAAACGGGCAGCTTCGGTAACACCTGATGTCTCAGGTAGAAAGCCAGGATGTAGTTAATCATTTGTTGTTTAAAAGCCAAGAAGGCTACTCAGCAGAACAAGTACCCTGACAATTCATTAAGTTGGTTAACACAACACTTGTATCGAATTATTTACATTTTTTGACAGGTTTGTTGTTTGACTCCTGCCCGAGTGACCAAGTCACGAATGTCTCAAGTGAAATCTGCGCTGACAATAATGACTGTTTTGAACAGATGGCTCGAAAAGTGTGAACATATGACAATTTTTTCGCATGGATAGCCCAAGCCGTTCAAACAAATGCCCCGTGCTTTCAAACAGCTAATCCATGGCATATCAATGGCAAACCGTAAGCAACGTTTTCGCGTGAGAGGTCAAATATGGTGGCAAATCTGCTAGTAAACATAAGAGTTGCATTGGAGGGATTGCCTGTCACTGAACTAAATGGATGGCCGAATGGTACAGTAGCTCTAGTTTGGATTGGTGGTGGCGGCAGAACAAACAGTTTGAGGAGAATCTGGTTCAGAAGTTACGTGATCACCCAGAGATAACATAGAGACGCGTTCCTACACAAGAAAACTGGGCTGATCTTGCAAGCAGGGGTGCTGATAATGCGTTTAGTACGCTTTGGGAGAAGGATCTAGAGTGGGTGGCAGATAGTGAATGCTGGCCTCCACAACAAGCTATCCTCTGTGGAAAGTTGCTGACACTGATAGACTACGTGGTTCTTGAGAAGTTTGAACTAAGTAAAGCTATGACTGTTTGTGCTTTGGTTCACGATTTGTGTAGTTTGTGACATCTTGGACAGAAAGTGAGTGGCAGCATATGTTTTGGGAAAAGAGAGCTGAGCAAAGTTGTCACTTTGAAGATGATCGCCTACAACTGAAGAGGGTAGTGTTTTCTTTTATTTACCAATAAAGATCTGCAATTCAATTCGCCTACTATGGCACAGATCGCTTCAAGAAAAACTGCAGACCAAGCAAAAGGTTTGCATCCTGAAGCTGCCCAGGTATTGAAGAACAATACCTACATGGATGACATTTGTGATTCACTTCATTCCATTCAGCAGGCCAAGCAACTGACAACTGAGCAGGATGAAGTATTACTGAAAGGTGGATTTCAAATCAAGGGATGGCTCTCAAACCAGTCTTTGGAGAATGGAATTATCGGACAAGAGAACTCTGAAATGGAATTACTGCAAGGTGCAACATAAGAGAAACTACTAGAAACTGTTTGGAATTATGATAAAGACGTGCTCCTGTTCAACGTAAACCTGCCCAGTGACATTACTCTGACTGAGGGAACAATAATCAGCCAAATTGCTTGAATATTTCATCCAGTTGGATTCCCAGCAGCCTCTTAGTTCGCGCCAAAATTGGAATGCAGCATTACTGTAAGACTCAATATAAGAGAAAATACTAGAAACTGTTTGGAATTTGATTTGACAAGAGAACTCTGAAATGGAATTACTGCAAGGTGCAACATAAGAGAAACTACTAGAAGCTGTTTGGAATTATGATAAAGACGTGCTCCTGTTCAATGTTAACCTGCCCAATCACATTACTCTGTTTGAGGGAACAATAATCAGCCAGATTGCTTGAATATTTCATCCCACTGAATTCCCAGCAGCCTCTTCGTTTGCGCCAAAATTGGAATGCAGCATTTGTGGCAACAAGGCTTAGAGTGGGATCAAGAGCTGCCTCCAGCGCACGTGAAGAGTGGGTTTGTTTCTTCCAAGAAATGGGGGACCTGAATCAAGTGACCTCTGAAATATCCCTGACCCAGGGTGTAAAGAAAGTCATTTTTACAGCTTGCCATTCAGGCAAGCTGAAGGTAACATTTACAAGCCCAAATATCATTTCAAATAGCCCACAAAACGTTTTGATGAGCATATCGATTTCACAGTTCTTCGGTAATTTGAATTCCTCAAAAAAATTCACACGTAATCAGTACGGAATTTCTGTGCTGGTTTCTCAGACATCATTTGGCAGGGAAACCAGCGGTAGCATCACCAATTGTTGGCTGTTTTGTCAGGCTACATCCAACAAAGCCTTTGGAGCTTGTGCATTTATCAGATGGAAAATCGATCACTGATGACTATCTCAACCAAGGACTTGTGTAAGTATACCAGACCTCTAAGCTCTGATCTAAAAGTCATTCGCTTACGTAATTTATAGTTTAATCATAGCAATAATTTGACGGTTTGCAAAAAAAAAAAATAGTACAGTCGATGATCAGTGGGGAATAATGGTCTTTCCCAGCTGCAAGTGCTTCATTTTCCTATCCCTCTGAACTTCACACTCAGCAGGCAGATCCAGCAACAAATCAGTTTACAACCTCGATGGTGCCCTGTCGAACACAGTCACCAATTCCCCTCCTTTCTCATCTCCTGGTTCTGCTTCCTCAAGTGATTGTGAAATACCCAACACCACCAAAGGTAATAAATCGCGTGTCAAGTTTGCCAACTGAACTGAAAGAGAACCATTTGATCTTTTACGAGCATGGGGCCTGAAGTACGAGAAACTACAAGGTACTTTGCAGTGCAAGAAAATAGCCTTATAGAGTGATATCTATTCCACACATTAGGAATGCCATCTGGGTGAAAGTGAAAGAGTGAAATTGCCCAAGTTCAGGTTAAAAAATGACAGAAGAATCTAGACTATAAAGTCAAGCAAATAAGGCAATGCACTCGTTCGACTGGAGAAGCTGAAATAAAATCAGTTAAGGACAGGTTGTTGGGAATTGTGCGCCAATAGTGTTTACATATTTCATAGTATATTTTATCCTTTCGCTTTATTATATTCCCAGTTGATGACAATGTTGATTGCTAAATAATTAGCTCATGATCTCCGGTAAGTTCAAGGAACAGTCACGAAGTGAACCGTGTTAACTGACAAGATGCTGGGGTTTCTTAATTGATATCATGGAAATAACACTAAAAGTAAATCACTTTATACTAATATACGTTAGGTTTCATGTGTATTGTAGCGAGTCGAGCAGAGAAGGTCATGCAATCTAAACCAAGTTGTTGTGTCGAAAACATCTGGAGTGAGTGAGATTAAAATTGAGATTAAAGCTACATCAAGTGAATTGTCGTGGATTTCTGTGAATACGGGGGTGATTCCTGACAAGGTTTCCATACGTCAAAATTTGTGATGAGGTGATGGGTCATCGCGATAGGTTTGACCCATCGAAAATGGCTATCGAGAGTAACACCATGTTTCCAAATGGTGAGAGTGATGCTTCACATGCAGCTGCAAATGCAACCATAAGCCAGCTAGATAGTTCCATTGACGAAACTCCTACGGCCAAAGACATTGGCAGGAAAAAGAAAGATAATTACATGGAAAGAGTGAAAGTAAGGCCAAAAGGAGGAGAAAAGACGTGAAAAAAGTGGCATTATTCCTGAATGACAGTCAAGGATTTTTGAAATGTGGGAGCGTAGTATTGGAGAAGACAATGCCAGATACAAAAGGTCCGCTGAAATGTTTTCTGAAGTGCAATGCCATTCTCGCTGGAATCAAAGATAATTATTTTCAAAGGCTATTAATTATTTCAGAACAGACAACATTTAAGCCAATGACTTTTGACTTTTTATATCATGCATTTGTATAATCATATATTATACAATTAAATTACTATATTAAAATTGACCTTGTTGTTTACACATTTTTGTTTATATTGGGCATCAGTTCATTAAGGATTTGTTCTTTACAGGCTTTCCCACACAAGGTGTTTTAATCTCAGATATTGTTGCTATAACCTGTGTCATGTGGGTCACCCCTTTCAATGCAAATAATGTGTAAAACACAAGCTACAATTAGTCTTCTTCAAGGGTGTCTTTTTTTGTTTAATTTTCTTCAAAATCATTCTCCATTGTAATTTTAGCGTGCCAAAAGCTCTCTCCACTGCGCATCTCGAATCGCTGAACTTAAGATGGAATTTCCTCTGCTAGGGAGTCAACGGCCTCTTAACGGGGAAGGGTATTATCAGCCAGCTTGTTAGTGGACTGTAAATGGCATCGTTAACAGTCGCTTCAAGAAAGAAATTTCTAGTTAGAGCTCGTATTTCCAAAAAAGAGATTTACAAATGCGCAGTGCACAATGACCATGTTACTCGTCCTTCACCTTGTTACAATTTAAATAAACTCTGCAAACACAGCCTATGCAGGTACAATTGAGGAGGATTAAGATGTCCTTTGTAAAACATCGAAATGCAAGGCTCCTTCTAAGAGTGCACTTATCAAACGATTTAAGGATGCCCAAGGAAAGGTGACAATTACAAAAAATCCCTAGAGACCGCGTCAGGCCAAAGCCACAGACACCACAAACAAATCAGCAAATGAACGGTAATTTAGTGAGATACATCACAACAAGTTGTAAATTCTCTGCTTTTTAGATGATGTCATAAGGCAAAGGATTGTTGACAGTGCCAAATTGTATACCCTTGAAGGAGAAAAATCATCCTTACGACGTAGTAATGTCATATGAAGAGAAGTGGTTGTATCCAAATCCTAAGTAACCAGGTCACAAACTGCGATCCATCAAGTACAAGACAAAGTACAACTGCCTAAATGGCACTTAAATAAATACCAGATTTCCATATCTATTTTGATCCATCATTGCTGCAAATACCTCCTGAGGTTAACTCCCATCTTCAAAGGTTGTGCTATGACCTTCCCAGTAGGAAACTCCACTTTGAAGCAGAGAGGGTTATGTATCCTTGATTTAAGGAAAAGTGTGCCTTGAAGGTGGTTTGCACTTCCTGAAATTAGTTTGATAACATTTGCCAGAACCATCATTACTGATACGAGTTATTGCAGAGCAAAAGTAACTAGAATTACGAGACTTAAAACCCCGACTATGCATAACAGAGATTACTCAAGAACCCCATTCACCATTTCCAGGGCCCCCAAAAATCTGCTTTTTTCCCCTCAGTATTAGCTCCTTTGTTTCAGCAATTCATAGGCGTTAATAAGTTCCAGTTTCCTATGGAATATTTTCTAGAGTTTCTGAACTTTCTTTGTGACTTACATTCATGAAAGCCAATCCTTTCCAAAGGCACTGAGTAGTTGGTTTTCTCTTGCGGTTCATAGAAACATTGGCTAATATGGCAGAGAGCCATCCAGTGACAATTATGTGGCATATCTTCAGCGATTTTTTTACTGTGGATTCAGGTTGAGCGTTTAATGACGTCAGTTATCGCGTTCATTATCACAGTTGATTGGTTGTGTTGCAAGGCAAATTGTCAGGCATTGCTAGGCGGGGATGATATCGTTCTGTCTGGGAAAAGGCGCCTTGTCTTATCGATCTGTATGTCATGGCGATTGAAATCAAGATAGAATACTCCTACTATGCTACGAAAAGAATAACTCCAGTATATATTGTCGAAGAAGAGCTTATGACCCTGGAATACAGCAAGTTCATAGAACGCATTGTGAACGAGGTGCGCCATCTCCGAAGGATGAATTCATTGCGACTTACAGTAAAGGAAGATGAAACTGTTGACGCGTAGATTTGTCCAGAAAGTATTTCATCTTGCAGATGAACGGTTTGTTAGACAAAGGAGCTAAGAGCATCAGAATAAGAGTCTTTAAATTCGCTTCGCCAGCCGTAGATACTGGTATTCACAGAGTAGAAAACTGGCTGAGGTGGGAGCAGAGGTTCGCGAGCTAACACAGACGCATGTTCGGTGCTCACTAAATTTACAAATCGACCGGGAAATATCATTGTTAGTGGGTTACCTCCTCCGTCAATGATTTTATCGATGATGATATGTCTTAGGTCAGAGGATAAAGGTTTTTCTGGGATATAAGAGCGACCGCTCTTGCTTACGGTTAACATGTTTACATTCTTTAACATGCCTTTTCTCCAACAGAACGCTATCATCCCCCGCCTAGCAATGTGTGACAATTTGCCTCGCAACGCAAACCAATCAACGCGATAACTGACGTCATTAAACCCTCAACCTGAATCTGCAGTAACTTTGACCAATAACAGAACAGTGTCACAAACAGTGTTCAACACCATACATGACTATGGCATTGAGTATTGTAAGATGACGTCCATGTTTTTAATTCTGACAACTGACCAGCAATTCTCAGGAGAAATCTACCAAGATCAAAGCTTCATGAGAAAGCTTCATGCACAACTTGCTTTCCTTAAAGTGAGAGCAGCCACCATCATGGCATTTCTAAATTATTTTCAAGACCAAGTACCACATGTTACACAAGCACATCCAAAGATGGAGAGATTACTGCACAATCTCCAGGCAAATACCAGCCTGGAAGAAGATCTTTTGTTTTGTTCTGAGCAAGGTTACAATTTCACGTGCCCTGATAAGAACAGATTTGCCTCTTCAGTTCAGCCTTCACTGCTGCATATTCCAAATTGTAGAGGTATTTCAAGAAGGAGTAGAGACAGTTTTAAAGTTTCTCAATCAGATTCAATTGCTGGATCCAAGAAATCTTAATGATGTGGAAGGCGACTTCACTTCCATCTAAAGCATCCCTGGATTCCAAGCAGTTTTAAACCAAGACTAAAAAAAATTAGCCCTCTTACCGTTAAAAACAGCAAAGATAGAAACCTTCCAGCTCAATTGGCCATTCAATATTGAATTCACCAATTCACGTACTGGTGCTTGGCGCAAATTAAAAGTCAACTAGATTCAGGGGTGATCCTCGATGATGTTGATGTTGACCTGCGACTCTCCGTTCTCAAACCAATTCATGCAACTTGGATCGTCAGCATGTGCAACCATTTGTCTAGCTCTGAAGACAGACAGTCAATTGCAAAAGGATGGAAGAAGGCTGGCATAAGTGATGTTGCTAGTGGTTCAAAGAAACTTCCACCGGAAGATCCCGTTGCAGACCTGGATGTTTGGGAACATTGCGGACTCTAGGACAATATGTACCTAATCTTAACTTGTTCCAGTTTGTTTAGAAAGGTTGTAGTTCAGAATTTTTTTTGGAAAATAAAATGATGTTGACAACGCTTTTCGCGAAATTGAATGATCTTTTATCATTTTCCCCCATCGAAATTGCGAAAATAAAGCTTCGCGAAATACTGTCTCGCGAAAATTGCTAAATTAAGTGTGCGCGAAATTAAGTACGAATAAGGTATATTTTTTGTTTATTACTGTTGCCCTAGATAAAGTCTATCGCATTCGTTCAGTAATAATCATGTCCACCTTTTTGCAGCAAGAATAACAATGAGAATAAGAAGAGACATTGAAAGAGCAGAAAGATTCAAGAGAAAGTAAAAAGAATATAAGGGCAAAGAAGACTCTCTGTGTTGCTTATGCACATGTAGATTATCTGTTGTGTAATTTAAGTTACTTAATTTAACTGTACGCATGCGCTACCCATTCCAGTCCACCAGTAGACCGATTTCATACCGATACGAGTGGTCGTTTCCCATTTACATGATACCATTGCCCCTGACAGCTCTGCTTAGCCTTGGCAGTTTTTCTTCTCTGGCCAAGATGCCTATTTTGCATCAGCCATTCATGGTTGGCACCAGAAACTTGTGAGCCAAATCGTGGCTGGAAAGTTTATTGAGTTGAATGAACTGCTTTCCACTAACTTGGTGTTAAATAAACCCAAGCCTCAATTGCTGTTTCAACTCCGAAAAAGCTCATGTCGTAAATGTTGACGACATAACCAATTCATTAGAAGCCTTTTCAGTTTATTGTGTTATCTTATCCTCCCATTTCCCGCATCGCTGGGAAGATTTGTTGCAATATCAGCTCCTCATCCTCCAGACACACTACGAGTTTGCTGGCTGAGTTTGGTTAGCATAGGATTGGGCTTTTCACAAACAAGCTGCTGCCACAAACCTTAGAGACTTGTCAACCATCAATGTGCAGTGCAAAGGTTAATTATTGCCTATGTCAAAGTAAATGTACATATGTATAATTTTATAAGCCTTAATCTTTTCAGCTTAATACATGCTGAGTTTTATGCATGTAACTAATACGATTTTAATACCCGGTGTATCAAGTATAGGATATCAAGGTCACATATATTTATCAATTTTGTTCAAGTTACTATTGTTCTGTTGTCTGATGTATGGTCTACAAAGTGATCAATAACAATGATATTTTGAAACAATGTTTTCTATAGTGTACAGAATTAATAGTCTGTCTAAAACCAGAGTAAAGAAAATAATTTTCCAGTTGAAACCAACGTGATTATCTCTTATAACTAGACAATACCACACAAAACATACCCCAAAGCAAGTCCCACTGAGATTGGTCATGCCATCTGGGGTTATCACCCTCAGTCAGGATTTAACATTATTTAGATACAAGGCCTGTATTGTTGAGTTCAACCAATCCAGAGAGCCAACATTAGCCAGTTTCATTTGGGAACCATGAGATTGTGTTTTCGTAAACCTGTGGAAGCCTGTGGGTTTCAGTCAAGACTGACAAAAGGGTATTGCTGGGCAGATGAAGGCAAGAGCAGGTTTTTAGCTCGGGATCCTCCTCTCTAAGAACAATATCCCTTTCCAGCTCGCCAATTAAATTCCAAATATCTGGTCAGATGCAGATTATAAAATTATTGATTGTTGTGACCCAATGAAACCCAGTAAGAAACCAGTTCAACAAGGCGGCCCTTAATTGGTCCCCAAGCAACCAATACCGCATATGGACAAAGCTAACAATATAGACATGTAGAATGCATGCAGGGAAGACACAAGAAATCATAAACAGATAATTGGTCCAAATTGTGCCAACTAAGAACAAAGCCAGATAAGGGCAAGAAAAGGATCAGTAATGTAGCATACCAGAAGAACACGAGGCATGATAAACAGATACTTCATCCACATTGTGCCGACACAAAAAAACAAATTATAGATTACTAAAATGAAGTTAAACCACAAAACAAGAACAAAGTACAACTGGAAGCCACAGGCACCAAGGGCTGATAAAAAATGTTTTTGGTGGTAAGTTTGCTCAAAGAGAGAAATGTTACTTTTCCCTTCATTTTAGATCAAATTGTTTGCCAGTCAACAGACAATGTTTGGCCACGATGGCCATTTTAGTTCCCAGTTACCTATTATCTACAAAATTTATTTAAAACCCATCTGCTATCTGCAAATAGTTAAGGACATTAGGGGACCTCCCCAAAAAATGTCAAAAGAGCTTGCTGACATCCCTGGCCAGCGTAATTAATTTTAGATGTACAGCAGAATTATGACTTGTTTTTCTAAGTGTTATAGTAAATCAAAATTGATACAATAAAGTTGCCTGTATATGAACAATTATATTAAGCAACTAGCAAAAATTACATCTTTGCACCGTTACATTTCAAGAGGACAAGCATCATTATTTTTCTAATGTACAAACTGTATGTTTTTGCTTGTTATGTTCTAGTTATTATCCTTTTCATTTTAATTATTTCAACTGGTCACAAAAGAAACCTTACCATGCTCAAATTTCTTTGGAAGCCAGTCGCAAATTTATTTTGAGCCCTGATAACTTGACAATTTTCTACGTCATCCAAAGCAGAAAAACCCACTGAAAAGACCCACTCAGTCAGGATTTAAAACTGCACTCAATACCTGTATTGTTCAGTTCAACCACTCCAAAGAGTGAATGCCAGCCAGTTAAATATTTGGGAACCATGACAGTGGTTTGAACTGTGGACTTCAGTCAAGACTAACAAAAGGGCATTGTTGGGTAGATGAAAGTAAAGAGTGAATCTTTCGGCTGGGATCATCCTCCCTTTAAAAATATCAGTTCCTAATTCCCAGCTGGCCAATGAAGTTTGATACATTAGGCGAGATTGTACATGCACATGTACAATGTATACTGTTTAGCCTGAGTTGTCCAGAACTAGGTTTCTGAACTGGTGTAGATTTTCATCTTGATTGTTGCAAGGCCAATGGATGGAACCTGATGAGTTGGCCCTTTACAGGATTCCAATACCACACGTTGACAAAGCCATAAATATGATCAACAATGCAGCACGTGAGGAAGAAAGACACAAGGCATGATAAATGTGTAATATATCCTTGTGTATAAGTGTATCAATGGTACCTTCTTATCTGTTGAGTGAATTTAGGCATTCTCACCAACTCCAATCCCATTTCACAAGACGATGTGATCAGCTACGGCTGCTTCTGGCCAAAACCACCAAATACCAGGGCAGTTTTCAGATTAACAGCGCGCGTGCCTATCATTCCTCCGCCCATGCCAATGTCAGAACCGTTAAAGACTTCAATGAATTTAAGTCCCTAGCGAAACCGTATTTCAAGCCTTAGCCTGGTTTGAATCCTAGTTAGAGTTATCTAAACATTATGTTCATGTCGAGGGTGGAAAGTCAAGTGTAAGATCTTTGACTTGTGGGGTGCTACAGGGATCAGTTCTGAGTCCTATTCTTTATGTGCTAAACACGACACCTGTTGCTGACATCATCAAGGCCCACAAAGTAGAGTATCACTTTTATGCTGATGATACTCAGCTTTATGTTACCTTCAAGTGTGATTCCCTGGAAGATGTGTACTTGGATGATTAAAACTAAGCTAAAATTGAACGATGATACAACTGAGCTTATTGTCATAAGCTCAAAACACCAACCAAGACCTGCTATTGAATCAATTCAAGTGGGAGAGGAGAACATCAACTATGTGCCCACTGTGCGTAATCTTGGTGTTCTGTTGGATCACGCTTTATCCTATGATGATATCAGCCAATTGTGCCAATGTTGTGTCCTTACATACTTTAAGTGCAATACTTTTTTTTATATAATTCTTTTGTATTAATACAATAGTGGTATTTTTATTAGCTGGGAGTAATTAATGATAGTAGATTTTTTTCCACAAGACTCTGATAAATTAGCTATGCTAAACCAGATGCTCCTGTATAAATAAATAAAATAAAATAAATAAACAAGCTTTCCAATGTTTGCTAACATCATTTGGTGCTTGTTTCCCTTTGCGCTGGTTTGTCAACAATGGAC